CCGCCCCCTCCCCGGGAAGCACCCTCAGTGGAGCCGGGGCATGTGTGACTCAGTTATCATGGACCACTCGCGACCGCAGGCACACCATCACCAGCTGCGTGGGGTGGCTGCGCTGCCCACCCTGGGTCCCCTCAGACGCTGCGACGCCACCAGCAGGTAGCACCCAGCACTCAGATCCAGTGACACACGAGCCTGCCCCACGCCTCCGAGCCACGGCTGCTCCCAGGATGGGGTCAGGGAACCAGAGGGGAGCCTAGAACGTTCTGTCCCGTGAAAGAGGATGGGCGCGTGGGAGAGGCCGCCCCAGCTGACTGGGCAATGGGAGCAGGATCACCCCCAGCGCAGGGAGGGAAGAACCACCCCCCCACACACACACACACACAGGACCACCGCAGTCCCAGCGTCACCATGAGTAATGCGGGCGCGGGGGCGGCCCCCTCGGAGCAGACTGGCCTCGGGGAGGAGGACAGAGCCGCGACCCTCACACAGCAGCTGACGCAGGCAGAGCCACGGTGCCAGGGGAGTGGGCGCCGCTGAGTAACAGGACAGTCACAGCCTCCAGCTCCATCCCCAGGGGCTTGTCAATTACACACGGAAACAGTCACTGCAGAGGAGACTTGGCAGCCGCCACCTTAAGCCAACGTCATCGGCGACGAACAAGCCACAGTCAAGGCCACCTGGTGCCAGGCACCAGGCCACTGCTTCAGGTCTGTGACCCTCCCACCAATCGCGGTGACCCTCCCGCCAAATGCGCGTGGGAGAAGCTCAGACAGCAGCTGAGGGTCTCCTGAAGGCACCACGTCGGGAAGCAAAGGCCGCGGAGCTGTCCCCACAGGCACGGGGCCCAGATGGCAGGCCTCGGCCCAGCCGGCGTGGCTCAGTGGCCGAGTGTTGACCTACGGACCAGATCACAGCTCGATCCTCAGTGTGGGGCGTGCAGGAGGCAGCCGATCCATGATTCTCTCTCATCGACGTTTGTCTCTCTTCCTCTCTGAAATCAATAAAATGTATTTTTTTTTAAAAGGTATCAAATTCACTCAGCAAAGGAGAGGCGCGTGTCCCGGTGGGAAGCTGGACCACGCCCGGCAGGAGGGGGCCGGGTGGCCGCACCTCCCCTGGCGTGTGACTGGCTCGCCCCTCGGGGGCAGTGTGACAGGTGCATCATAACCAGGAGAGCGTCTTCGTGACCCAGCAGCACCGCGGAGGCACTTACCGCACACGAAGGACAGGAGCAAGGTCATTCCCCCCGCAAGTGGCAAACCTGGAACAACCTGCACTTCCGCCGGCAGGACCGCGGCCTCGACC